ATCAATTTTGAAAGACAGTTTTGCAGGATACATCAATCTGGGTTGGAGGCTGTTTTCCTTTAGGGCTTGAAATACATCACTCCAAGGTCTTCTTGCCTTGAGGGTTTGCATTGAGAAGTCTGCTGTGATTCTGATGGGCTTTCCTTTGTATGTGATTCGTTTCTTTTTTCTAACTGCTTGTACAACTTTGTTCTTCTGTTGGGTTTCTGGAATCCTAACTATTATATGCCTATGTGTAGAGTTTTTTTGATCAAGGCTAGCTGGAGCCTCACTTATCTGTATGTCAAGTTCTTGTCCCCTGCTTGGGAAGTTTTCTGCCATTACTTTTGTGAACAGCTTTTTTATGTCATCTGCACTCTCTCTTGTTTCTTCATTGACTCCAATCAGTCTTGTTATTCTTCTTTGCATCATCTAGCAGCTGCTAGATTGATTTCTCATGGTCCCTTACAATTCTCAAGCAATTTTTCTTTTCCTGTTCACTAACTGCAATCTTACCTTCTATATCTGAAATTCTGTCCTCACATTGGTTCATTCTGCTGTGTAGAGTTTTGATGGAGTTTTTAATCTCCTGGAAATCTGTTTGAATCTGTTTTATGGATTCCATCATGTTCCTCAGATCCTCTATTTTTTTTATCTGTGTCCTCTCTAGATTTATTAATCATATCTTGCACTATGGGCACAATCTTTGCTGTTATCTGAGAAATTATTTCTGATTTCATTTTTTCCAGATACTCTTTTGTTGCCAGTTCAGGGAGTCCAGGTGATTTAGGATCAGATTGTTCCATCTTGTTTCCCTTTGGGGTTGCTGTAGGTGATCTGGAAATCTGTTTTTGAGGCTTGTTTACATGTCTTCTCATTTCCACGGGGTGGGAGGGGGGGGTGCTTCTGGCGCCCACGCGGCTCACTTTCTCTGCTCTAGGAGCCTGGAATGGGGGCGGGGGAGCCTCTTTCTGGGTGCTGGGATTGGCTCACCTTCTCTGCCCTAGGAGCATGGAACGGCGGCGGGGGAGGCTCTTCCCAGGGCTTTGGGGATAGTGTTAAGGAAAGACTCTGTCCATCTTCAGTACAGAAGCAATTTTTTCCAGTATTTTTGACCTGTGGTTGGTTGAATTCAGTGGATTCTGAACCCACCCACATGGAATGCCAACTTAAGGAGACACAAGGGTGGCCAGGTGTGCTACTGTGTGCCTGTCGCCCCAGTTGCTTGGGAGTATGAGGCAGGAAAGTTGCTTGAGCCCAGGAATTCCAGGACAGAATGGACAACATGGCAAGACACCCCCCATCCTTAATGTAGCTCGACTCTCTTCTTTCTCCCAGCTGCTGTAGGCTTTATTTGCATTTCCCATGGGACACATTTCCATCCCTTCCCTCAGTAGATGAACACATCTGGCAGCCACTGCCTGCTCTCCTTGGCCTTGAAGTCCTGCTTGCCCAAGTTGTTGACTTACACTCCACATTCCCAGTCTGTTCTCCGGTCCAGGGGTCACCATTCTCCCTCTGGAGCCAGATGTTGCGGAGGGATGAGCAGCTCCAATCACCGCCCTCTCAGGCCTGGCTCGCCCAGCAAGAGCATCATTTACCACTTGCCCTGTTAGTGGCAGCTGATGCCCTGTTGTTGGCAGCGGGATTTCCTTTCCTTTCTTTCCCCTCATATATTACCACCATGATCTAAATTAATTTATTCTTGAAAAGAGATTTGCTATTTCATTTCTGAAATTATCATCATCTTTCTAGGGATCCATTTTTCTTTTTCTTTCTTGTGGTACTGGGGATTGAACTCCGGGCCTTGAC